CTTCTCTTCACTTTCTGAGTTGTCTTGTTTCCTCAGTCACAGGCCAAAACCCAAAATCATCAAAGGGAAAATGGAGCAGCCGCCACCGAAGAGCTGGAGCATTCACACCCGACCCGAGATCATTGCCAAGTACGAGATCCTGGAGCGGGTTGGCTCCGGCACCTATTCCGACGTCTACAGGGGCCGGCGCCTCTCCGACAACCTGATTGTGGCCCTGAAGGAGGTTCACGATTACCAGTCAGCGTTCCGCGAGATCGAAGCCCTGCAAATCCTCCGGAATTGCCCCAACGTCATCGTCCTGCACGAGTACTTTTGGCGTGAGGATGAGGACGCTGTCTTGGTCTTAGAGTTTCTGAGGACGGATTTGGCGGCGGTGATCAGGGATGCCAAGAAGAGGGAAGCTGGCCTCGGTGTTGGGGAGGTGAAGAGATGGATGATGCAGATATTGTGCGGGCTTGACGCCTGCCACAGGAATATGATCGTCCATAGGGATTTGAAGCCTAGCAATTTGCTGGTGTCTGAGGATGGGGTGCTGAAGTTGGCTGATTTCGGCCAGGTTAGTCGATTTCATCTTCACTTTTCCGCTCAATTTCGATTCTAGAGTTGTTGGGTGCTTCAGATTATATGTAATCTACAGAAATTTTGAAGCTTTAGCCTTTAGAGTTTGATTGACCATAGATTAGGATAGAATGGAATTTGCACCTTGTATTTGTAAATTCATTTTTTAAGCAGTATACTCGGTGTTGTTTTCTTTGATTGCGTGATCGAATTTAATTTGCTTGATTCAGATGCTTAGATTTGATGGGGTTCTTCTAATAGGTGAATATGGGTGATATTTGTTAAAGTATGTTACTTTTTTTGGTTAGAGATGAGGTGATGACATTTCCGTCTAATGTGTTTTTGAAAGTTCTCTCTGTTATATTTGAAATACTAAAACCAATAGAGGTTACAACAGTTTCCTCTTAATTATTGAAAAACAAGCTAGTTGCCACATTGATCTCGTACGTTATCAAAAATGGCTTCAATTTTTCATCATGTAACACAAAGAAAAATGGGTTCTTATCTTTGCTGTGGATGGACAGCTTGTGCAGGCAGAGGCTGCAAGCCTGTAAGGCTTGAACATCAAGGTTGTCAGTAATTAGTTCTCACTAATTTGTTAATTGTAATCCAGGTTTGTGTTTCATTGTTAACTGTCATATTATGTAAAATTGAGAACATAGAAAAGTATTATATAAATGAAAAAGGATAATAGCAGAGATTTGACTCTGGAATTTTATCAGTGGATTCTTTTATCTATTTTAACTTGAGAACTGGGCTAGCAAAGCTAGTAATGCTTGCCTGCTGTTATTTTTCAGGATTAGTCATGTTAGTTACAACATCTCCATCCAGATATATTCTTTGAACATGCTGGTTGCTGGATCAAGTTATTCTACTGGTAACTGCAGGGTTTGATTTGTCTTTTTGTCTATGTTTTCAGGCAAGGATATTGATGGGCCCTGAATTTGTTGCTGGTAATGACAACCAGCACCACCATGAAGAGAGCATTGAATTTCAGGAAAATGTCCTTCCATCATCTGAAGTTGGCCCTGAAAGGGACAGCTCATTTCAACAAGGATATGATAATCTAGAGCAGGATGTTAAGTGTAAAGAAGAATATCTTAGACAGTTAGATGAGCTCAGGGCCAAGCGCTTCCTAGATGAAACTGATAAAGACACCAACATTCAGGATGGAGACACATCCTGTCTCGCAACCTGCTCCCATAGTGACATAGAGGATGATCCCTTCAAGACTTCTTATTCCTTTGAGGCATTCGAGGGTGGGGATTACGGACATGGTGCTCTCACATCCTGTGTTGGCACTCGCTGGTTCAGAGCACCTGAACTGCTCTATGGATCCACCGACTATGGATTGGAGGTGGATCTTTGGTCACTAGGCTGCATTTTTGCTGAGCTTTTCAATCTTAATCCCCTCTTTCCTGGAGATTCTGATATTGATCAGCTTACCAGGATAATAAGTACCTTGGGCAACATAACAGAAGAAGTCTGGCCAGGTTGTTCTAAACTTCCTGATTACAGAATCATCTCATTTGCAAAGGTAGAAAATCCAATTGGTTTAGAAGCTTGCTTGCCCAACTGCTCCCAGGATGAAACTGCCCTGGTCAAAAGACTTGCTTGTTATGACCCAGCTAATAGAGCTACCCCAATGGAGCTGCTTCATGACAAATATTTCAATGAAGAGCCTCTTCCAGTTTCTATATCAGAGCTGCACGTTCCTCTGACAAAGTATGAACCTGATGAAGATTTTCCCGGTGGATGGCATGATTACAACAACATGGATTCTGACTCAGACTTTGATGAGTTTGGTCCTATGAATGTTAGGACCACTGCCAACGGCTTTTCCATTCAGTTCACTTGAGCTTAATTACTAATGAGGTAACGTGGGTGGTCGGAGTGTATGTTCTAATTTGTTTGTGTAGAGCTTTAAGAATGAGATCGAGATTGAAATTGGTGATGGGAGAAACCTTGAACCTCTCGAACTTGGGCTGTTTCTCAAAGCAATGTGTTATATTATATGTAAGAATTCTTTATTAAAATCAAGTATTCATTATATTACACTGAAATAGTATTTAACTTTTTTTTTAAGAAAAATCTTAAGTTGACTTTTTCTTGAGTAAAATCTTAAGTTGGAGTTTTTTTAATGTAGAAACCGGTAGGCAAAAAGCTTTTTCTCTTTTGAGGTCTAACTTGATTAATTTTAAATTAATCGAGATTTAATTTGGTTTCTTAATGCTAGAGGATTAATACCAAAAGAAAAAAAATATTATTTAGTGTTTATAGATCCAAGTTATGATTTTGTGTTTTGCAATCAAACATTAGATAAGGAGGGTAACTCTCAATGTCAGGAGTAAGCTCATTCCATTTCATTTAATGATTTATATTTTATAATTTAAAATAGTTTAAATTATAAAACACTTTTTTGTTAAGTTATTTTACACATTTTATTTTTGTACTAAAGATAGCAATGTAAAGAATACAATTACTATTTAAAGGTTGTGCTCCCTTTGTTCCAAGATTAGAGCCTTTGCACTAGAATTAAGACAATGATTAATTTTTTTTTTTTTTGAACATTTTTGCCATGAGGCTGACTCGAACCGTTGTCCTGGGAGAGGGAGTATGAATCTTATAAACGTGGCTAGAGCCACTTGGTCCGAAGGACCAAGTTCAAGACAATGATTAATTATCTTTAATTGTAATGGTAAATGAAATAAAAAGACCATCGTGCCCTTTTCTTCTAGGAGTTCTATTTGATTCTTAAATTCCTTCTATTGGTTGTTTCACTTTCTCTTTGGTCTTCTCTTCCATCCATTATTTCATTTGTTGAAAAACTTGTCTATGATTCCAAGTTTCCAACACATTTTATTCAATTCAATTCTACTTATTTTTCATTCTAATACTGTCAAAGTATATTTTAATTTTTGGTTCTTCAATTTTGTTTCCCTTTAGAAAAATTGCCTATAAAGTTCTCTTTATCTACAAGTTCAGCTTATCTCAACATTGATAATTGCTGCTATGGCAAAGCAACAAATGCTTTTAGGTGAATTAGATCTCAACGTTGTCCCTATTATTGAGGAATATACATAGGAAAATGAGGTAAGAGTAGATTTGATGTATTGAGATGAGAATATAAGAAAAATTAAATAGTTATTTTGAAATGTTTCTCAGAAATCAAATGAAAGGAAGGAAAACAAAGAGTTTCTTATAACACTTAGAGTCATTAAGCCTGCCTTTATTTGGAGGATAAAAATGAAACTAAAAATTAAAAAAATTTTGATTTGCTTAAAGTGACAAATAAATAAAAACAAAATTTCAATCTAAAACGAGTAATATGATGAAGCTAAAAGAGTATTATTTTGAAAGAAGGTCCAAAATGAATATTTATTTGGTACATAGATATGATTGATTGATAATTTGGCAAAAAAGAATTCCTTGATATGGAAATTTTCCCATTCAAAGTTCTGTCCATGGTAACTTTCTTTGAAAAAAAAAAATTGAAATTCAAAATTAACGGCACAAAATCCCGCATAAACGCCTCCTTGTAAATTCAATTAAGATTAATTTTAATAAATCCAGAAATCATGTTTTAGCAGGTTTTAAATATCAATTCACATCCATACAAAGCCTAAGGGAGAATGGGGTCTCGACACAAGGACCACACGACGGCACACTGGCCCGGCAGTGGAGGACGCGTTGGTGGAAGCGGTGACAAACGTGGCAAGCTTCACCACGACCAGCCTCCGTATTCTCAATCAGATCCATACAACCAGCAACCTGGTTCCTTCTATCTCTCTTGTTCACTATGTTTCTGTTTATTCCTTGATTTCCATGTAATGTTGTAGGAATCTCTTGTCAATTTAAAGTTTATATTCTCATTATTGGCCAAATTTAAATATGTGATAAAAATCCCACATCGATTTTCATATTTTCTGACGGATTTGAGATTTTATGCCTTGTATCCTGTATCCATGTGCATTCTTAGCACTCTTGCTTGACTAATTGATAATATAATATATGCAAAACTTGTTAGAATTGACTCAAATGATAAAGAGTGATGTGAATTATGCCAAAAATATATGTTTGTGCTAAGTGCAAATAATTCTAACGGATTAGGCTGTC